TGTATTTTGTATGTTTGAAGTAAAATAGATGTCAGTCTATATATAACCTGTAGTGTTTTTAAACATTTTTTAATTATCATTTATCATAATTTATTCAATTTGTATCCTAGCTGTGTCCTCCTCCCTCCTTTCCTCCGAATCCCACCCTCTCTCCTTCTTCTCACCCTATGCCCCTCCCCTTAATCCACTGATAGGGGAGGTCTTCCCCACCTTCTATTTGACTCTAGCCTATCAGGCCTCATCAGGACTGCTTGCCTTGTCTTCCTCTGTGGCCTGGCAAGGTTGCACCACCCATGGGGAGGTGATCAGAGAGACTGCCACTAACTTCATGCCAGAGACAGCCCTGCTCCTCTTATTAGGGAACCCACTTGGAAACTAAGTCTATGGGCTACATCTGAGCCAGGGTTTTAGGTCCTCCCCATACAGTGTATTTATTTTACTTGTTATTAACATCCCCAAGGCAAAAACAAAAAACAAAACAAAACAAAAACAAAAACCCACTGTCTAAAAGCATTCATTAAAATTATAAAGAAAGACAATACCAAGAATGACAAAGGTGTGAGAAAATAAACACTTCTTCAGCAATTACTAATAAATAGAAAATAAGGGAAATTTTGGGAAATAGTTTGGGATAGCTTTAAAAGCTTCATGTAAGTTCCACATACAGCAAGAGTCAGCCTTTATTCTCTGTATTTACCCAAAAGAAATTAATGTATATTTCCATAAACAGAATGTGTCATTTGTACATAGCAGCTTTATTCATAATAAAGCAAAAATTGAAACACACACACAACACCATCTAAGGTAGTAGTTGCCAACCTTCCTAATGCTGTTATTTTTTAAAATACTGTTTCTCAAGTTGTGATGATCCCCAACCATAAAATTCTTTTTGTTTCTACTTCATAACTGTAACTTTGCTACTGTTATGAAACCACAAAGGGGCCACAACCTGCAGGTTGAGAGCCACTGGTCTAAGCCCTCATTAGGAGGCATCCTGCATATCATTGGCCATATTTTATTTAATTTGCTATTACCGAAAATAAAGTTCATCTTTTCTCTATTCTGTATCTTTCAGCATCAGAGTCCTGTCAGGCCTCGTTGGTATATGTGATTTTTAAGGTCCAGAGGATATTCTTTCGCATACAGTTGTGTACCTGATTGTTTCCTCAGAGCAGTCCCATTGCAGTGGAATTCTTGGGTAGAGAGTCCATCCATTACCCATCTTACTATCCAAGATGCCACAGTGCCATCCACAAAAGCAGTGCCTAGGAAAAACACTTGGAGGACTGCTACTTTTTAGGCTCTGTTTTATTTTTATTTTCCAGTAGACAGAATTGCTTGTGTTTTCTTTGCTATTTAACTTGTATTTATTCGGTTACTTTGATTGTAGTATTATATGATGGATATTTACATTTCTCATGTAAATTGCTTTTTTTTTTTTTGTCCTTTGACTCTCTTTTAATTGCCTTGTCTTTTGTTGTTGAATTGTTGAAACTTTTTAAAGTGGGAAGTTATTTTGAATTACTTCTCTATATCTTAAAAATCTTCAATTCATGTAACTTTTCATCTGTTTATATTTTTGTATATTTAAGTGATACATTTAATTCATTTACAAAGAATTTTTTGCCTTTAATTCAGAACTCATCAGGTACTTTTCAACATCAGAACCCTGTCAAGCATAGTAGAATATGTGATATTTAAGGTCCTTTATAAAAACTGTTGAATTGCTTCCTAGAAAAATTATACCTTATTTATATTCATAGCAAGTTTCTATAAAAATTGTTATCTCACCAAAACTTGGTTGACATGGATATCTGCTTTTCAGTCTTTGCTAATATGAACATGAAATGGCATTTTTTTTGTTTGTTTGTTTTAAATACAAACATTTTCCTGAGTGGTTCTGTGACTAAATGGTCAGCTCCTTTTTATAGAGTTTATAGTGATATCAATCTTTCTGATCCTATATGTCATCCTGCAACAAAGAGGAAGCCTCGCTTTTGCTCTTTAGTGGAAGGAATATTATTTTTGAGGTAAATCCAGTTTGTTTTTAAGAGAGTGTGTGTAATCAAAAGTTAAATAGTTGAATGATTTAGTTAACATAAAAGATATCCTTCAACTAACAAAGTCATTTTTGGCCTTCTTGACTTTCTCTTGATTTTTGTCCTAGGTTAGGAATATTAAATGGGAGAAGGTATGCAGAGAAACTATTTATATATTTACCTTGAAATAAACACAGTGTTTTGTAATTTGGAGATTTTAAGTATAGTTCTGAGAAATTCCAAAGTTTTTTTTTTTTTAATTTTAAATCAGTTTTATTTACCTCACTCTCACAGACAAGTTCCTTGAGAATAGGAATTCCATCTCACTTTGTTTTTGTATCATAGGTGTAATATTTGACATACAATAAATGTGTGAAGGGTCAACTTTCATAAATAGTGAGGAGATTGAATTTGGAATGGAAGACCTGAGGTCATATCTGTCCCTCTGTCTCTTCACCCACCTTAATTTGCTAGAGCCTTAGAACCTTTGCAGATAAATGTGACTTTTTTTTTTCTTTCAGGGGGCAGAGCCAAGAAAGGTCTTGGGATTTGGACAGAGGGCCTCATGCATGCTATGTAATGTCTTTTGAGTCTCTGTTTCATCAGCTCCTAGTTATCCTAATTCTCCCATTTATTTGAAAGAACTGAAAGAGAAATGAGATAAAATGTATTTAAGTATCTTGTAAAATTAAGACGTGTTATACAATTGGCAAAGTCACTGTCATTATTACTACATTTCTGAGCAGTTCTTGGCAAGGAGTCCGTTGAGCTCAGCAGTGAGTTGCTGATGAAAAGCTCCACTCTTCCCATGTCTGGGTATTAACTGGACAGTTTCTGTGCCTCTCATCTATCCATGTAGATATAGTTATGTAACTGAGTTCTAGCTAATGAGATGAGTGAGGCCTGCCCCTCAAAATCTCCCAGGAAGGCCCCTTAGAGCTCTTTTCTCTTTTCTGGCTAAGATGGAGACAACATTCAGAGCAACCTTGGAAACCACACCTTAAACATGGAAAAGCCTTTTTGAGCCACATATGCCTGCTAATCATTCCACACATTTAAGCCTGCTATGTGAGGAGGCATAAGCTTCTGTTGTGGTTGAGTCATTACAGTTGAGTCTATTAAAGCAGTTAGCCTGCCCCACTACAAGAAGCATGCGAACACATGCCTTTTTTTAGAGAAGCATAATCCTCCTCAGGGTGTCATAAATAAGGGGTAATGGTGCGCCAATCCACTTCCAGGAGATCCAGTGGTTTCTGGCCTCTGCAGGCACCTGCATTCACGTGGAGAACATAACCTCACACAGGTCACACATGGACACATTTTAAAAATTAAATGACGAGGAAAAGATACTTATGAAATTTCTTAATGAGAATAATTGTACTTTTTTTTTTTAATGTGATTTCTTTCTTTCAAATTTTGCTGTATTATGAGATGGGTTTTGGCCCATCTCATAATAGAAGCTTTTTATTGGTGAGAAAGGTGCTGATGTCATAGACTTCAGAAACTGTAGGGAGAGACAGTTCCTGCAAACATGATGTCTGAAACTCCCTGTGTCCGTCATATAGAAAGCTTACATTTCTACGTGCCTTTGCCCCTTTGTCTGACAGTTTTTCTGAAAGTTACCCAACTTTCAGAGTGGTAATCCTGGGCTCTGTCGTACTGTTAGGAAGAAGAATGGGGTCTCTTTAAGTCTGTGGGCTGGAGGAGGTCCACTGACAAGGCTCCAGACAGCACTGCTTGCTGTTTGCCATTGTGAGCGCAGTACCATTGTTAGTTCACTTTGCTAGCAGTTTGACTTTAGTTTTCTAAAATATCTTGATTATGATAATGAAACATCATCAGATGAATGAAAGACATAATAAGCATAAAGCATTAGAGAGAGAGGGAGGAAGGGAAGGAGGGGGGAGAAGGAGAGGGAGAGGTGTGAATGGAAAACTAAGGAAGTTCAATGACAGCCTGAGTTCTGATTTCTTGCATACTTTCTGGGAATGGTGAACCATTAAAGCACATAGATCAATTGTATTAAAAGTTGTTATTCTGAAACAACATAGGCCAAGCAGTATTTGGACTTCTCTTTGCTAGAATATGAAGTCCATGTTAGTTTCTTTACAACTTAATAGAATTAAATATGGGGAGTTTTCAATTACCAAATATCGTATTTAAATCAGATTAGCTTTCCAAATCTATAAATTTCTAAAAGTCCTTTTCAGTTACATGAAAAAAAAAAATGCAATTGTTATTTCTGAATACTTTATCATTAACCTTCAAATTCCCCTTCTTTGGATTCCTATTTAGTTATGACAAAATGAGAGCCACATTTTGTGAAGTTAAACTCCTAGGAAATTAAAGTTAGTTATTCACACTTGAAGTTTTATATTTTAATTTTTAATGAATTTATCACCTGATATTACTTCACATAGATTAGTTTTAATATTTTGTATTTCAGGTTTGTTTGTTTGTTTTTTTTTTCAAAAAGCTTATCTGTGGGGAGGCTCTGGGAAAAGCTGCAGAAAGAAGATGATCAAAATATATTGTATGAAAAAATGTTAATAAAAACTTTAAAAGGCTTTCAGAGAGTAGAAAAGTCTACCTGTGGATAAAATGGATCCTGTCACTCTTCTAGAAAAGTTTCTCAGCACAGTAGAAACTGCCATTTCAGCTGCTTCCTACTTGGCAGATGCTCACCCTGTAGGTAATTTACAGTGATATAATTGGCTGAAAGTGCTAAGACTTTTTCAGCTTAAAGTAACTTTAAAATAACTTCTGCACCACACTATAGGTTCTGCAGACAAAATCTGTTGTGCCGTGTAAGCTTAAGATACTTGTGTTGCATAAACGAACAAGTGGACGTTGGCTTGAGCTAGCTCTCAGGAAAGGCATCTGTAGGCGACTTCTCAGATGTCAGTTACTGAGAATGTTGAGTTGTATATTAATTGTATTTATGTGTGTTCTGGGCTACAGGTGGCTATAAAAATAATAGATAAATCTCAGCTGGATGCAGTAAACCTTGAGAAAATCTACCGAGAAGTACAAATAATGAAAATGCTCGACCATCCTCACATAATTAAACTTTATCAGGTATGGCTTAGCCTTATTTCTTCCTTATGCTTTCCAAGTATCTGTTTTCATTGTGATTTTTACTTTTATGCTAGCTTTTTTAATCTATAAAAGAAGTTTTCTTAAGCTAAATGCAACCCTTTCAATATATTTAAATTTGTAAAAATGGAACTAGGAAGCTACTTGGTCATATAACCTTAAGTTATCTCTGAGACTAGACTATTTTAACACTTGGCAGTTGTGCCTAAGTTTGCTGGATGTGCAAAGGTGGTAGCGCCATAAAAAAGGCTGTCATGCCTTTGCTTATTTGAAAAGTTACTGTTTATGTTTTATGAAATGAAAACTCTAAGATAGTATATTACCTACAGGTAAACTTTATCATACCTGGATTCATGTCTTTTTTTTTTTCTTTTTTTTTTTTTGATGAATTATAAAAAAGCCATTTAAAAAAAAATCAGTTTTATTAAGAAATTTTGTAAAGTAAGCTGCATCTAGGTTTAAGCCATGTGTTTTAAAAGAGATGTTTTCTTAGATTTTTTAAAGCAGTATTTCATGTTTAATAATCAATAAATTATTTTTTAAAGTTTTTTGTTAGTTAATATACCCTATCTTTACATTGAAAATGGCTTTTAAACCAGAAGGTCCTGGTATGCTGACCTGTGTGTGACTTTGATGCCCTCTGATAGGTACACCCATGGTATGCTGGACTTAATCTGTTTTTAAAAGTTTTGTGAGCTGGTAAACATCACATTAACATCTCAGTCTCAGCAAGTGTGTATATCATAGGAATGGGATTGCAACTCAGAGCCATTTTCTCAGAGGGCCAGTTTGCTATCACACCATTGTATTCAAGTGGGCTACCCAAATGTACTGAGATTCACATGTTCTAAACTGATTCACCGAGGTTCACATGGTGTGGCCAGCTGGATTTGTAAAGTAGAGTTACTATTTGACTTTTTAATTCCAGATTGCAGCTCTTTTCTTGATGAAGCACAGTCCCACACCTGTATTTTAGTGCAGAATTAGCTTGCAGCCTTTCAGCAGACAACTATTAAAAAGATTGTTATAGGACTAGGGACATAACCTCCTTTGATAAAGTATTTGACATGGAAGCTAGATAACCTCAGTTTGGTCGCTAGAACCCACACAAAACTGGGGACTTGAGTTTGATCCCCAGAATGCATGTGACAGTGACAAGAATGGTGATGCACACTCACAGTCCCAGCATAGGAAGGTGGAAACACGGATCCCTAGTGCTCTGCCGTGCCACACTGCCCAGCGTAACTAGTGGGCTTCAGCACAGAGAATCCCCGTCTCAGTGCACAGAGTGGGGGGCTTCTGAGGAACCCCTGAAGCTGACCGCTGCCTTCCACATATTTGCATATTAACATACATGTACACACACAGTGTGCACACAGACCCTCACCTCCACACAGAAAGTATACAGAGAAACAGTCTAAAATCGTTTATCTTGAATCTACGTAAGTGTCTGTTTATATATTTAGGAAAATCAAATTGGTAACAATGACACACTTTATCTTTTTGAAACTAGAGAAGCTAATTTAAATGAAAATATACAGCAGTAAGCTGTAAAGAAGCAGCTTGCAAACAATGCTTTATAATTGGGGGGGGGGGGCTGGAGAGATGGCTCACAGGTGAGAGCACTGGCTGCTTTTCCAGAGGACCCAGGTTCAGTTCCAACACCCAGATGGCAGCTCACAGCTGTCTGTAACTTCAGTTCCAGGGGCTCCAACACCCACACACAGACATGTAGGCTAAACACTGATACACATAAAATAAAAATGCATAAATCATTTTTTAAATAAAGTTACAGTAACTTAAATATTAAATAAAGTACAGTAGGGAACAACATACGTACCACATTGTGCTGGCCTTGATATCACAACAGGTACAGACTCAAGTGAAGAGGTGATGGAAGATATGACTGAACTTGAATGTGCATATGAATCACTTTTGTTAAAATGTCAATTCCAGTTCAGTAGTACTGGAATTTGGCCTGAAGATCTGCATTTCTAGCAGGTATTAGCAACTGCTACTGCTGGGCCATGGACCCACACTTAGAACAAAGATCTAAAAATTATTACTAAAAAATTATGGAATGATTATAAAAATGCTTGTAAATGTTTCTGACTTCTGAGTTGTTTATAACTTACTCTTTCACTTATAATTTTAATGTATGTAACTCTATAGACTGTGGTAAAGTAACTCTTCCTGTCTGACTAATGTAGGATCATTTATCAATAGGTAATGGAGACCAAAAGTATGTTGTACCTTGTGACCGAATATGCCAAAAATGGAGAAATTTTTGGTAAGTTTTTTCTTTACCTTTTTTTTTTTTAACTTGAGAAAGTCACATGAATGGGGTAGTTCACGTTAATTTTTCTGATTTTTTAAGAATTGACAATATTTTAAGTCTTAGACGGAAATAAGATACTAGGTAAGTTAAATTATAGGATATAACTTATTTTCTTACATAATATTAAAAGTACTTTTTAATTTTCTTGTTTGCATTAGAGACTAGATAGCAAAAGATAGGGAGAAACTTGTCATCTTACAAGAGAAATTTTATTTACTTTTACTTCTTACATTCTCTTTATTGGGTTCTTTATTGGGTCTTTATTGGGTCCCCTGCTATGGGAGGATTCATTGGTGACCTGCGTGTAATCTCATGGCTCTTAGTCAGACACTCACTGTAGTTGTAAAACCTCAGCTTAATTGGGTTGGTTTCAGGCATTTGGCTGGTTTCAGTTTGGGGATATGATACATATGTTGCTATGGACATTCAGGTACAAGTCTTTAACCTCACAGTCTGTCTCGAAGTAATATTTGTCCCTGACACATAGCATAGAACTTTAAAATAAAATACTTATGTTTTGCCCTATATGACCATCATGGTTTTTCATATTGTATAAAACACAATATAACACTGTTTTTGTTTTAGCAGTATATCCTCTTTGAGATCTCAATCTTTCTAAAATCCTATTTATCAGAAGTTAGCATTTCCACTGTACTGTATACCTAAATATTTTCACCTTCATTTCTTTGTGTAGATACATAGTTTCATGCAGGGTCATTTTCCTTTTGCTTGAAGAAGTTTCATAGTATTTCTTATAGTACAGATGATGAAATCCTTCAGTTTTTGTATATCTAAAATAGTCTGTCTTTTTCTGGTATGAAAGACTGAACTGGAGGCAATTTTCATTGATTTTAATTGATGATAATGTGCTTTTTGTGGTTTTCTTTAAGATTCTTTGGTTTACAAGCTGCTTGGACTTGTAAATACAATGTTTTTATTGAACTTAGAAATCTTTCAGCCATTATTTTCTTAACTTTTTTTCTGTCCCATTTCTTTTTCTTCTCCATCAGAGTCTAGTCCAGTGTATTTTAGGCTATTTGAAATTGTCCCACAGCTCAGCAGATGTTCTTTAAATATATATATATAAATAATTCTCTTTCCTCTCTGTGTTTTATTTTAGATAGTTACTCTTTCTGTTTCTTCAAGTTCAGTATTCTTTTACTATGCATTGCCTAATTTGTTTTTAAAGTTAAATATATTTTTCACCTCAGGTACTGTGTAAATTACAACTTGATTGGAACTGTGTGTGTGTGTGTGTGTGTGTATGTGTGTATGTGTGTGTTTGTGTCTGAGTGTGTGTGTGTCTGTGTGTGTTTTCAGTGTTCCGTGCCTCTATTTAGCTATTGTAACTGTATAACTTCATGTCCATGCCTGCTAATTTCCAGCATCTCTGTCAGCTCTGGGTCGGCTCTAATCGTTTCTCCTCTGGTTTGCTCATATTTCCCTGCTTCTATGCATGAAAGGATGGAGGGATTGAGAGTGAAAGACTGGTGGTCAAAGAAAACCTTACTGCAATTTAAACAAATACTTGAAGGCACAGTCCTGTATGGATAGTGAAAAGACGATTATCAGGAGATAAAGAAGAGCAAATGGCAAGTCCTCAAGACCACAGAGTATATTCAAGGGTTAAAAAAGAGGACAGCATGGTAGGAGAGAAGAAAGCAGGAGTGGTGAGCAAGAGGGATCAAAGAAAAGGAGCAGGGGAGATGCAGTCAGAAAGGTAAGTAAGAGCAGTAAGGAACAGGCTTGGAAGCTTTGTATCCACTCTAGAGACTTTGGTTATTACCTCAGAGTTTCAGTAGTCATTAATATTTCAGCATGGAGCTGGAGAGATGACTTAGTGATTAAGAGTACTAGCTGCTCTCCAGAGGACCCAGGTTCAGTTCCTAACACCTACATGGCAGGTTGACTGTGGCTACAGTTCCAAGTAATCTGACACCCTCTATGGTCTTCATGGACACCAGCACTTGAGAGGCAGAGGTAGACCACCCTGATCTACAAAGTGAATTTCAGGACAGCCAGGGCTGTTACACAGAGAGACCCTGTCTCAGATGTTGGGGTTTGGTCTGGTTCTTGTGTTTTGATGCTCATTACTGGTTCTCAAGATCTGGTAACTGCCCTGATAGAACTATCCTTGCCTGAGACATTATACATGATTGGTTAATTAAAGGCTGAAAACATGGGAAGGGCAGAATGGGGTAGGTGTGGCTAAGGTTCCCAGGCTTTGGGTTAAAGAGAATCACCCAAAAGGGACAGACTGGAAAAGAGGAGGCAGGTGGTTCCTTTTCCACATGGTCCCGGAGGAAGGACTCCATGGATGGAGAAAACACCAAGATGAAAAATATAAGCAAGTATCTTGGGGATTATGGATAGAAGGTAGCCCAGATAGGAATGGTTAAGGTGGATGGCATTGGATGGAGACTGGGAGATGGATGGTGAGGTTATTGAGACAGTGTAGGTAGACTATCTGAATATCTTTCCCAGCCCAAGGTAAATAAGGCAATTATAAAATCTTACAGGTGTCTGTGTTTTATTTGATTGTTAAAGTGCGTTAAATAATACTGCCACAACAATTATAGGACTAATAATAAATAATATATAGCCCAACACCCACCTTTTAATTTACTATAACACTCAGAGAAAAAATAAAACAAAACAAACAAAAAAATCACCCCCCCCCAAAAAAAACCTTTAAAAATTTGAGCAAAAGACCTAAGAAAGCCTTCTCTTGATTTCACTGACCCTGTGAAGTATCTCCACACATCTCTCCGTAAAAAAAGGTTATCTATTTTGTGTTCACCCTTTTCTTCTAGTTGTTCTTTAAACACTTTTAATCCAGCTTTTGTTCCAGTAGTGTGTAATTATGGGAACAACCAAGTTCCTGAGGTACTCAACGAGGAGAAAGCAGCAGATGAGACAGAAGGAAGGAAGGGAAGAAAAAATAGTTTTCTGGAAACCCTGTGAACTAAGAAGTCTCGGGGAATGAACAAGCATCTGTGTTAGGTGACACTGGTAGATCAAGAACAATGAAGAATGGAAATTTACATCACCACTTTGTAGTAGTGAGAGCAATTTTGGAGGATCACATGGTCACACTAGCATATGAAGGCACACTTTGTCAACTTTTACATTGAGTTTATTCTTAATGTAAACTATCTAGGGTAAATGTTCAGTTTAAGGTCTGAAAAGGAGAATCTGTTTTAGATAGAGAAGTTGGACAGAACGTTAGTTAACTTTCCACTCTGGTACAGTTCATCTGAGCAAAGGCCAATGAGTAATAGAATGTAATTTTAAATATGATGAAATCCTTGAATAATATTTACTGCTTAGAATGGAAGGCTCTAGAGGAATCAAAGATCATTTAGTACAATTTATTTTTATTTATTTTGGCTTTGTCATTCATGCTGGTCGTAGCCTGACAGAACTCTATGTCTTTTCTCACAAAAACTATTTCTCTCTCGCTTTCTTTCTTTCTTTTTTTTTTTTTTTTTAACTTGGCTTCATTATGTGCCAAGTCATCTAAGCAGGGATCCTTGATGTCAATATTGATTTCATCTCCTGCTTCCCTCTTTGGATGGTTTTTAATTCTGCCTGTTGTGCCTCCTACATATCTCTCAAAAAAAATGTGCATCTCTCCATCCTCCTTTTTTTCCTGTCTGTAGAATGCAGTTGTTTAATTGATTTATTTTACATCTCCAGAATTTTCCAGAATCATGATTTTCTGCATCTTTTTCTTTCTCCCTCTCTCTATGTTAGAGGCAAGGCTTCACTGTATAGCACAGGCCTCAAACTTGCAATTCATCAATTCTCTTGCCTCTGCCTCCTTCCCTGTAGTAGGACTCAGACATGCACCACTGAACATGACCAGAGAGTATCTTTGTAAAATACAAGCAAAGTCATATTAGTTGTCCTCCTTTTTAAGGTTGCTTTAATGACCATTAAATAGAGGTGGGTATGGGGAAGGAGTCATTTTGAAAGCAAGGTAATGGCATAAAAGAGTTTTGATTAAAAAATAGTTATTTTTCATGTAGCTTCAATCTGTAAAAACATGCAGTTTAAGCAACATTTATCCAATAGTGAGAAATACGTGTAAAATTTCAAATGATTTGAGCCAAAAATGTGTTCAATCAGCTGGAGATATAATAAAAAGAAGCACACACACACACAAAGAAAAGTATTAGAAGCTGGGTGTGGTAGCATAGGCCTTTAATTCCAGCACTCAGGAAGTCAGAGGCAGGTGGATCGCTGTGAGTTCAAGGCCAGCCTGATCACAAAGTGAGTTCAGGACAGCCAAGCTACACAGAGAAACCCTGTCTCAAAAAAACAAACACAACAAAATCACAAACAACCCAGTTTTGGAGTATGTTATTTTAGTGTTTATCTTTCAGACTTAAAACTTTAGAATTACCATTTACCCTTACAGGTATTATTTTAGCCCTACTCTGTGCTGGGAGAATGTGCTATTCTTTTTTGTATCATCTTTTTTCACTCTCTTATTTTTGTTTTTAGTTGGCCAGCAAACCATACTATGTTCTTACAAAATTCTTGAAATTGAATCCTTCTGTTTCTGCAGTCATCACCCTAATCTAGGCTTTCATCACCTCATGTCTCAATTTTTGAAGCTTTCATGTTTTACTGTACCCTATTTCTTCCCCAGTCAAGTATATTTCAGTGTGTTATTCGATCTTCCCGAAAAATCTTTATTATATTACAACTGTGCTAATAGATTTCATGTTCCTCACTGATGCTTTAAAACTCATACCCTCCACTCTGTAACTAGGTTAGCTCCATTAACTGGGTGGTTGTGCCCAGCTATCCTTTGCATAGTTTATGGATAATCATAATTAATATAGATAATAAAATTTCAGATTAAACTACATGCTTTAGTTAATAGGTCACTTTTTTTCCTTTACCCCTATCCTTTCTCTCTCCTTCTCTTTCCATTTTCTTCT